TCTGTATTACTTTTTGTTATAATTGAAATAGTTTTTGAAATTATGGTTTTAAGTTACATATCAAAAAAATGTTCTCTTGGTTGGCAGGCAAGTGTAATTATTTGCAATGCAAACATCCTCTCTCATTTAAACGTCTTAAATGTTTATTTGATGTTTTTCATATTTTTTGGTATTTTATGTTTATTTTTTTGTATTTTATATTTATTTTTTTAATCAATCAACCAACCAACCAACCAACCAACCAACCAGCCAACTAACCAATCAACCAACCGACCAACAAACCAACCAATCAACCAATCAACCATCCAGCCAACCGAACAACCAACCAACTAACCAACCATTTAGCCAACCAACCAACCATTCAGCCAACCAACCAACCAATCAACCAACCAATCATTCAGCCAACCAACCAACCAACCATTTAGCCAACCAACCAACCAGCCAACCATTCAGCCAACCAACCAACCAACCAACCAACCAACCAACCAACCAACCAACCAACAACAACAGGATGCTCAATGCGTTTCACGCTGTTCAATTGATTATTATCTGGAAAATATTGCCAATGGTAACAGCAGTAGTAGCAGCAGCAGCAGTAGAAGTAACAGCAGTAGTAGTAATAATAGTCATAGTAACAACAATAAAAATACCAACAACAATAGTGTTGTTAACAATAATGCTGTACGTAATACTAATAACAATATAAGTAGTAGTAGTAGTAGCAGTGGTAGTAGTAGTAGTGGTAGTAGTAGCAGTAGCACTAGTAGTAGTAGCAGCAGTAGTAGTAGTAGTAGTAGCAGTGGTAGTAGTAGTAGTAGCAGTAGTAGTAGTAGTAGTAGTAGTAGCAGTAATGTGTGCCATCCTTGCCATCATTCATGTCTTGGGTTAGTAAGAATTTTATTTTGTTATAAAAATTTCATCGCTAATTTAGTGTGTAAGAATGTAAGAGCAACATCACCAATGCAATCATCGCCGTCGTTTTCGTCGTCACATCCATCATAATTATCACCACCATCATCATCAACATCATCATCATCATCATCACCATCATCACCACCATCATTATCATCAACAACATCATCATCATCATCACCATCATCACCACCATCATCATCACCATCATTATCATCATCATCATCATCACCACCATCATTATCATCATCACCATCATCATCATCACCACCATCATTATCATCATCACCATCATCATCATCACCACCATCATTATCATCACCATCATCATCATCAGATGTACCGGACCGAGTGATATTGATTGCTTAGCCTGCAGAAAATTCAAAGTGTATCTGGATTTCGAGAGCAGAGATGTGAGAGGATGGGGGTGATGGTGGTGGTGGTGATGATGGTGGTAATGTTGATGGAAGTGGTAGCGATGATTTAGTGGTGGTGATAATGATAGTAACGACGATGATGATGATTGTATCATCCGCCTAACTGATCAAACTAGTACACAAATCAATAAGTTTAGAATATCTAATCAATCAACCAACCAAATACCAACCATCCAACCAACCAACCAACCAACCAACCATCCAACCAACCAACCAACCAGCCAACCAGCCAACCAACCATCCAACCAACCAACCAACCAGCCAACCAACCAACCAACCAATCAACCAACCTATCAACTAACTCCAGATGAATTCAACCTTCATCTGCCTGTCGACCTGTCCCGATTGGTTGAGTGAAGTCTACGCCAACCAGACGGAAAACATTTGTGTAACCGAAGCCTACAAACTTGAAGTTACTGGCCAGTGAGTTGATGATGCTGATGCTGACGGTGACGGTGATGATGATGATGATGGTGACGTTGATGAAGAAGAAGAAGAAGCCGATAAGGATGATGTTTATGATGATTTGCTTTGAATATTATCATCATCGTCATCATCACCATCATGGTCGTCATCAGGAACAAGAAGAACGTCATCATCATCATGTCCATGATCCTAACCAGCCTCATCATCATCGGTGTCATCGTCGTCGTCAACGTATACTACAAGCGACAGCGGGCCAAACTGGAGGAGAATAAAATAAGACTGACCGCCAGGATTCGCGGACTGGACGAGTGTGAAGTTAGTTGATTGATTGGTAGGTTGGTTGGTTAGTTAATTAGTTGGTTAGTTAGTTGATTGATTGGTTAGCTGGTTGGTTGGTTAGTTGGTTAATTGGTTAGTTAGTTGATTGATTGTTTAGCTGGTTGGTTGGTTAATTGGTTGGTTAGTTAGTTGATTAATTGTTTAGCTTGTTGGTTGATTAGTTGGCTGGTTTGTTGGTTGGCTGGTTGGCTGGTTGGTTGGATGGCTGGTTCGTTGGAAAGTTCATCTATCGAATGAATACATTATCATTTAATTAACAAATTATTTGTTATATTTATCAATCAACCCACCAACCAATCAACCAACCAACCAATCAACCAATAAACTAATCAATCAATCAACCAACCAACAAATTAACCAACCAACCAACTATTCAGCCATTGACACTTAGCAACGCCAAACCAGACCTATCGACCATGAGATTGATAAAGGAGTCTGAACTCATGAGAGGAACTTGTATTGGCTCTGGCGCTTTTGGGGCTGTTTACAGAGTTAGTTGGCTGGTTGGTCAGTCGGTCAATCTCACTCTCTTTCTTTCTCTCTCTTTTTCTTTCCTCATTCTCTCTCTTTCTCTCTCTCTCTCTCTCACACACACACACACAAACAATACAGACACAATCACAATCACAAAAACAAACAAATAAAACTACCACAAACATTAAAAAACACATTCGAAAAAATCCTAGGGTGCCTGGATACCGGAAGGGGAGAATTTGAAAATTCCGGTGGCCATCAAAATCCTTCAGGATACGACATCCACCTCCCAAAATAAGGAATTTCTACAGGAAGCGAGGGTCATGGCATCAGTTGACCATCCTTGCTGTGTCCGGATTCTGGCGATTTGTATGGCTTCTCAGATGATGCTGGTCACTCAACTACTTCCGCTTGGATGTCTGTTGGATTACGTTAAAAAGAATAGGTGTAACATCGGCTCGAAAGTGTTTTTGAATTGGTGCTATCAGATGGCGAAGGTTGGTTTTGTGTGTGTTGTGCGTGCGTGTGTGTGTGTGTATGTGTGTGGGATGTGTGTGGTTGATGTTGTAAAATTATTTTTTAAATTTTCAATAAAAATTAGAATTGTTTTTTAATTCGCAGTTGGACTGAATAATTATAACTCAAAAATTTTTAAATTAAATAATTAAACAGTCAATCAATCGACTATCCAGTCATTCATTCAGTAATTCATTCGTTTATTCAATCGCTCATTCACCCATGCATTCATTCATTTATTCATTCATTCATCCATTCATTCATTCAATCATTCATTCATCCATTCATTCGTTCACTTTCACAGGGCATGCAATATTTAGAAAGTAAGAATATTGTCCATCGCGATCTAGCAGCAAGGAATGTTTTAGGTTGATGGCTGGCTAGCTGTTGAATTTTCATTTAATTTATTATATCCACAAATATGCAATGATGATTATGAGAGCATTATTATGTCATCATAATGGTGACCAACCAATCAATCAACCAACCAACCAACAAACCAACCAACTAACCAACCAATCAACCAACCAATAAACCAACCAACCAACCAATCAACCAACCAACCAATCGACCAATAGACCGACCAACCAACCAATCAACCAACCAACCAATCAACCAACCAATAAACCAACCAACCAACCAACCAACCAGTTCAAAGTCCGACTCACGTTAAGATAACAGACTTCGGGCTCTCCAAGCTACTTGATTATGACGAGGAAGCCTTCCAGGTCAACGATGGAAGGGTGGGTAATGATGATGATGATGAAGATGATGATGATGAAGATGATGATAAAAATGATAATGGTAATGGTGACAAAGATGATGATGGTGACGACGATGGTGATGACGTGATGATGACTATGCAGATGCCGATAAAATGGCTGGCTCTAGAGTGCATCCAGCACCGTATATTCAACCACAAAAGTGACGTCTGGAGTTTCGGTATGACGTCATCCTCCTTCTCCCCCTCCTCCTCCTCATCATCATCATCATTATCTTCCTCACCCTCATCACCATTATACACATGATCATTATCGTCATTGTGGCATTCATAATCACCAACATCATCATCGTCGTCCTCATCATCGTCATCATCATCATCATCCAGGGGTTACCTTGTGGGAAATGTTTACATACGGGCGCAGGCCCTACGAGAACATCAGGGCACGTGACATCTCCACCCTATTGGAGAAGGGGGAGAGATTGCCCCAACCAATGATATGCACAATAGATTCTTACATGATAATGATCAAGTGTGAGCGATGATGATGGTGATGATGATAAATCAGCCAATCAATCAACTAATCAACCAACCATTCAATCAATCAATCAATCAATCAATCGATCGAGCGATCGAGCGATCGATCGATCGATCAGTCAATCGATCGATCAATCAATCAATCAACCAATCAGGTTGGATCTTGGACGCACAAAGCAGGCCATCTTTCAAGGAACTGGCCGAAGAATTCAGCAAAATGGCTCGAGATCCAGCCAGATTTTTGGTCATACCGGTTAGGAAACAATATTTTTAATTGGCTGGTTAAATAACTGATTGATTGGTTGGTTGGTAATTGATTGGATGGATGGTTAATTGATTCGAATTGATTGGTTAGTTGATTGATTGAAATTTCATTGGTTGATTGATTGATTAATTAAAATTTTATTGGTTGGTTGACTGATTAGTTGGTTGAAAAATAAATAAATTATTCGTCATCATTACTCTATCAATTATAATTCTTCCAGACATTATCATCACAAGCACCATCATCATCTAAATCACTACAATCACAACAACCACCACCATCATAACCTCCACCACCACCATCACCACCATCGTCATGACTTCCTCCCCCTCATCATTATCACCAGGGTGACGAACTAGCAAAACCAGTGCAAGATAACTTCGACGGGTCGGACCAGAACTTGAACGTGATTGGCTGCCACGAGCAAGCTGTTGATGACGAGTTTCAGCTGCGCTTCAGCTACGACAGCAGATTGCAGCTGCTGCAACAGCAGCATCAACAGATTCTAGAACAGGAGCAGTTCATGAGGAGAGATGTTGGTGGAAAATATTTATTTTTTTTTTCATGAGGAGAGATGTTGGTTGAGAAAGGATGATTTTATTCTTTTTTGTTTTTTGTTAAGTTAGGGCTGTTTCATTATCATTATTATTTTTTATTATTATTATTATTATCATTAGCTCAAATATCTTTATAGCATAGCGTGTGGTAGGCGCGGATGTTTTTGCATTCGAACTTGGTCACTGCATCGTCAGCACTGCTAAGCCCCTTAATCATTAGGCAGCCTAACACAATCCACAACAACTACAACAGCAGCAACAACAATAACATTAAAAACATCAACAACATCGCCAACAGACACACCATGGACTACAACAACAACAACAACAACAGCATGGTTACAACAACTCAACGTCATCATCTTCACTCATCTCTAATGGCACGACTTCCATTACGCACATCAACACCAACAACAACAACATCAACAACAACAACATCAACAACAACAACATCAACAACAACACGACTCGCCCGCACAGCGCCAACATCAACATCAACAACAGCAACAACAACATCAGCAATAGCAACATCAACAATTGCTGTTACAGTCCGTCTGTAGATAACATGTTGAACCATCAGTCTGTCTTTCTAAGCCAGAGCCGAATTCCAAAAAATAGAAACAACAAGAAGAACAACAACATAAGCATCATCAACAACAACAACAATAATAATAATAACATCAAAAACAACAATAATAACAACAATTCAAATGTGAATTTAGCGAGATATAGCGGTGACCCGTGTAGAATCGCCGACCAACATGATGTGGTAACTGATGATGATGATGACGATGATGTGGTGATGATGAGGACGACGATGATGTGGTGATGATGAAAATGATGACGACCATGTTATAATGATGATGATGATGTTAAAATGATGGTGACGATGATATTGTTGTAATGGTGGTGGTGAAGATGATAATATTGCAACAACAATAATAATTCTTATACGACAGTTATTATAACCATTACCATTGGAATATTATTATTATTATTATTATTATTATTACTATTATTATTATTATTATTATTATTACTATTATTATTATTATTATTACTATTATTATTATTATTATTAATTTTATTATTATTAACCATGACGTCATCATTCGACCGACCAATCAACGCAGAGTTCGAAGAACTTCCTGCTAACGACATCCACCTCGTCAAACTCCAACTCAAAGAAAACTTCGACGTCATCAACGGCGCCGACGACTACGTCAATGATGACGTCATCTGACTTCGACCTGAAGACGCCATTTTCCGAAGATGGCAGCTACCTGCAGCCTGACTTTGCTGACGTCACGAATTATTTGCAGATTATCGATGGTTTGTAGTAGTTGTCGTACAGCCGCTAATGTTGTCTTTGTTGTTGTTGTTATTATTTTTGTTGTTGTTGTTGTTATTTTTGTTGTTGTTATTATTTTTGTTGTTGTTATTATTTTTGTTGTTGTTGTTATTATTTTTGTTGTTGTTGTTGTTATTTTTGTTGTTGTTATTATTTTTGTTGTTGTTATTATTTTTGTTGTTGTTGTTATTATTTTTGTTGTTGTTGTTATTATTTTTGTTGTTTTGTTATTGTTGTTGTTATTTTTGTTGTTGTTGTTGATTGTTGTTGTTACAGTTTACTCTTTGGTTCATTCATCATTCTTTTATGATCGTATATAAATATATACACACGCATGCACGCACACACGCGCGCACACGCAAACAGATGTTTATTTAATTGTAAAGGAAAAAGCATGTCAAAACATTGCAGATGATTCGGTGACATTAGACGCGACAACAACAACAACTGCTACGGCATCAACAACCAATTTGAGCAGCGGCAATAACGACAACAACAACGACATCAACATCACAGCAACTCCAACAACAACAACAACCGCCGCAAGCAGCAACAACAACAACAAAAAGAACAAAAAATCATTTGCATCAACTCCACCACTAGTTCCAACAACAACCAAACAACAACAACCTACTCCCAACACAACCACAACACTGCAATCCTCCGATTCAGAGGGGATTTGTAATCCAGAGTACTTCGAAGACACCACCAGCACAAACTCCAAAGACCAGTCGTCTGGGGCTTCGAGGAAAACAACGGCTTCGTCCATAACGACCACACCATTCACAGCCACAACGACACTCGACAATGCTTCATCAACAGACGCCTATGACAGCAACGACAGTGGCGGCTGCATGGGCGGAGACAGCCGCGAAACCAGCGGCGGAAATGACGACGACGACGAAGATTGTTGTTTTGACGTTGATGAAGTCAACCAAACGAACCACAACAACCACAACAACAACAACAACAAACAACACGAAAACGACGACGACGATGAAGATGACGGATACGGATACAACAGCTACAACAGGCAGATCCCATTTAACGTTCCAATCCTCCAGCAGATCCATGACGAGCAGCAGTCGCTAGTGAAGCAGCAGTTGATGCGTCAGAGGAAGAACAAGTTATCCGAGAAAGAACATTTGAAACAACAGCAACAGCAACTACAACAACAATATTTGTTGGAGCAGCAACAACAACCACTCCTGCAACGTTTTTTCCAACAGCACCATGAGCAACAACAACTCCTCAACTTCAACCTCCAACAACAACAACTTCACATGCAACAACATCAGCAGCTGAAGTTACTGCAACAACCACAACAGCAGCAGCAACAATTACAACAGCAACAGCAGCAGCAACAACAAACAAATTATTGCCAGCAACCCCAGACACAACAACACCAACATATTTTCAGCCAGGGTTTTACCCAAACCATCGTCACCAACAACAACAACAACAAAACATCATCAACATCTCCACTGCCAGCGATTTCTTCGAATAAAATCTTCCATACAACACCAACAACAACATCAACAGCAGCAACAACAACAATACACTACAATCACTACAATAACATCATCAATGGTTGCATTCCTAGCAGTCATCTCGAAAAAT